GACCTTAAAATCTCCACTGTTCTATTGAAGTTTAATTTTTTATTCTCTATTCTGCTATCTGTTCGTGATTCTAATCTACACACTGAAATCTTGGTGGATATCTTGAAAATAGATAACGTTATGAAAATGCGAATTAATCTCCCATTTGTTTCAAAATCCTGTTTAAGGTTCACTTTCATTTGATGTCGCTGAACATATTGATTTCAGTTTGATTTATTTTCCTGGAACTCAGACCCATGAATAATTCTTCTGTGCGCATAATAAAAATTGCGAAATTAGATGGCCTAAATGATTAGATACCGTAATGATTGCACTTCTTTGCTTGACACTCGTAATTGCCAGATTCTTTTGTCGATATCGAAAATTAGTTCAATTTTTCATCTTTATAAATGAATGCAAAGCAAAAACCTGAGAAGAAAACGAGATGAAATGATTTGTAAAATATAATACTGATCAAATACATTTGCTTATCTCGCAAATTAGTTCATATAAAATCAACGGACGGCTTGCACATTATTCCATTTCATTGTTTCATTTGCCCGATTTCATCAATCGAATTCCAATAGAATTGAGGTAACGAAATGAACTTTTGTTGTCCTGTGCTAGTTGATGTGCCATTCTGGGATATGCAAGGCCTCGCATTATCTTGTTCATTGTGATTTCTACGTTGAGATAAACTTTTGATGATATTGAAGTGCTCATAATTATGAGCAACATGAACAACATCCAGTAATAGCTGTATTAATTCGCATGATTGTTCAGAAATTTGCACAATTCGAAGTTGAATCTATAAATGGAATCTCTTTTTAAGCGTTTAATCTTTTTAGGCATTTTTCGCCATCCGCGTGGGATAAACGTGTCAAATCGATGTTTTTGTAACGCAGTTACAAGAGAATACGATATTGCTGTACCAAGCTAACTGAAGAGTGTTGACTCCGAAAACTTGAAGTTTTGAGCCCAACTTAAACTCAGTCAACCATAGTCTAGCACTAGGCTCAGATCTGCGCTTGACCTGAGTGATAGTGTCAGTCATGCACTCAAGTTTTGGATATTCCCCTTTGGATACTGATCAATAGTAACCAACATCATTCCCAACAGAGCGTCAGCACTTTTCAGTAAGAACGTATCTTTTATCGACCGCAGTGAATGATCATCTTTATAAGATGAATCGCAATGTCAACAGACTGCGATGTCAGGATAAAATGAATGCGCAAAGTTCCTATTGAATTGCTGTTTCAGTTCGAGCACATCAAGATTATTCACCACAGTCGTTCCAGACATCTTGAGAAGATTCACCGCAGCCTAGTATATTCGAAGCAGCATTTTGCACAAGAAATATTAGCACACCGTGGATTCGGCAGTCATATTCTAGAATCCCTTGATTATGACTGAAAAAATCTATGTTCCGGTTGATCCTTTATCAAATAAACCTGTCGAATTGTGGCGAAGGTATCTAAGGCAAGGCCGCGTTTGTGAACCAGCTAAAACGCTCAGGTTTGCTGCATATTATCACCTTGTTGATTTTGTAAATCCGATGGGACATATCCAGTAATATGTCAAGCACTCTAATTCTAGTTTTGCTATACACACAAATAACTATTTCTCGTAGAGACTAAAGGGATTTCGATGAGCTATTTTCTACTTCCCGAAAGTTGCGATCCCGTATTTTTCAGTTAGATTGCTCCCTCCCCAGATAAATCACTCCCAGGCGGGAATCTTTCCAGGCAAAACAAAAGAATTGCTTCCCGTTGAGCACTAATTCAAATACTTACCCAGACGGGAATTAGACAAATTGCGTATCTTCAATTAATATTCGTTTCATTCAATTTTACACAATTGCTCTACACAATGGAACAAAATCAATTGAAATTTTGCAATTAAATCAAAATTACTCTCGATATTCACTATAAATTGCTATCAAAATTATCAGTCACTTCAATTGCCATCAAATCACTATCAATTACTATCTATTATGAACTGATTTGTTCAAAATTTAGATTGAACACACCTGTGTATGAGGATAAGATTCGTTTCGTTTGTATATCAGATACACACGAAAAACTCGAAGAGGTTCTACCAATCATCCCAGACGGTGATGTGCTCATTCATGCGGGTGATTTCACTGATCATGGTGATATCGGCGAGGTGATCAAGTTCAACGCTGAAATAGGTAGGTGCCTTATCGCTCGTTCACTTCCCTTTCACTCTTCATTCCTCGCATCTTTCCATCCGTTCCAACTACGAAGTGCAGTGCAGTTAGCATCTGCAGTTGACCAGTGATATTTCATGTAATTATTCAAATGGCAATTACAATAGTAACTCATTACAAGCTCATATGTCTCTGTTATGAACAATTCACATTCTCCCTTACTTAACAACCTTGTTACCTTGTTATTCTTTCGTGCAATATTTCAGGAAGATTACCGCACAAATATAAGTTGGTTATTGCTGGAAATCACGAGATTGGTTTCGAAGATGGTGAAGAGATGAATGACAGGCAGTTGGCTGGCTTGAGTATGCTTGGCATTAATAAGGCCTATGAGATGCTCAGCAACTGTATCTATTTATGTGATCGACAGATTGAGGTTAGTTCGACGCTTTTGAGCCATTCGATCTTATTTCAATCCAGTTTCGTCTGTCCGATCGCATCGAATCCAGTCATTATTTCAGTATATACCGTTCTTCTAGATTCGTAAATAATATCGCCAAAATTAATGCAGTCACTCTTTAATTTCAGTTATTTGGACTGAAAATCTACGGCACACCGTGGCATTCCATGCCTGGCTATTCGTTCTATCGTTCGCGCGGCCAATCGATCATGAACAAGTGGAACATGATCCCGTCGGATGTTGATGTTCTTATTACGCATACACCGCCGCTAGGTAAAAAACATTTTGTCTGCTCAGAGATCCGCTTGACCGCTATTTCAGAGTTCATTCAGTTGTTTGCAATTGGTTGGATGAATGGTTTTGAGACAGAGATTTTTCACTTTTCCCGAATTCACTTTTCATAATCACACACTAATGGAACTCATCACGTAATTTGAAAAAAGCAAGACATTCAGCTGAAGTAACACCAGTAACATGCGTAATCCACGTAATCTACATTTCATAAATTATAGCAAACTCTTGATTAGTCATTCTCGTCCACTTCGGAATCATTTGACCATCAGTTTAGTTCAAATGATAACAATCATTTCTCAGTAATCTTCATTTGATCAAACCCGAAACATTGAAGAACGTTAACAATTAATGTCACTTATCGATATCAGGTCATGGTGATTTCAACAATTTGAATAAATGTGGCGGGGTGTTGGCTGGCTGTGCAGATTTGTTGAATACGGTCGAGAAACGCATAAATCCAAAATATCACATCTTTGGACACATTCATCAGATGCATGGCGCCACAACGAACGGTAAAACGACGTTCATCAATGCATCGATTTGTGATCATAAAATGCGAAGTGAATATGATCCGATCATTTTCGATATTCCCTTACCGGATGGCTACACCAAAGTCAACGACGATGATTGACACTGTAGCTGATTTCAACCAAAGCTTTACTTACAGTTCGTCTGATGTGTTACTGTTGCATTTCCACTTGGAATAATTTTGTTTTTAGCATGTGAAAAGTCTAGAAATTATACACAATTACCATAAATTCTCTCATATTCACGTCGAAAAAAAGGAATTCAACGAAAGAAACGAAACAATGATCTCAAGACATGCTCTTATTGAATGTTTCGATGATTTGACTGTAATGTCCGCACATTATTCGATCAATCAGATTCAAATTGATCACATTTCATGAATGATGATGTGATTTTAGCAATGATTATCGTATGAAAGTACGTCGCTAATTCAGTTTACGTTTCAAAGTCACACTCATTGATAGTTCGCTTTATCAATTAATGTTATCCAACTAAATTACTCAATAACAGATTATATCATGATGACATGATGCAAACATTTTTACACTTTTCACGAAGTCAACGACATTCATTTGTTTTGAATTTCCGACGATAGAGTTTTTTGTCGAAGTGTCGTTTTTGTTTTCGATGTGTTACTTGTTTAGATTATTCTTGTTATCAACCTTCAAAAAACTATCGTCTCATCTAGAAATTAGTTAGATAATAACCTGTGTTTATGATCACTTCCAACCAAGACTGATTGATGTTGTTTTTTTTTCCGATCAATCGGAAATTTCTGATCGGTTAACGAACGCACAAAAAAACAAACGCAAATAAGAAAACTTCACGGCGATTAAATGTGACTTTGGAAGTGGATGATTTATAATGTGTAAAAGCAATTCAAAGTTGTAGTCAATCAAATTTTGAAAACGCATATTGCACGATTGCACCTTATGACAATCATGGGAATTCACCATTTATCAGCAGTTATTTTTTTGCGTCTTCGAAGTTTATGGAATTTGTGATGATAAATTTGAGGTGTGCAAAGACATTAATAATAATAATATTGTTTAAGATTGCGTTATGTGATTTTATTTCTAGATTGTTTCATGCAACATCATCACGTTATTTGTTCATTAATTGTTTGCCCATTCAGTATTGTGCTCGGAAACTTGAAACGAGGAAAAAAACGTAATCGCGCGTAATTCTTCTCATTCTTCCGTTGTCTAATAGCCAGTTCAAACGCAATTGATGTGAGCAAAAACCTTCATCATCTCGAATCGAATGTACAAAATAAATCATGTAATTTCAACGAAAATAAATGCATCTACAGCAAACTAACAACACATCAACAACAACAACAACGAAGAGATTTTCAAACATTTTAACGGCGAATCTTTTCAATCAGTTGTCTCGAACAAAATCTCATGTATTTTTGATACAAGTAATATTCGTGGAATTCACCGTATTGAAGCGGGGAAGTTTGGCACTAAATCGGCGACACAGAAACGTCTGGTATAATACCTCTCACTGATTTGATATATGCTTCAAATTTGTTCCTCTCAAGTGAAATTGGTTTCTCGTGATTCTCATCGAAATAACTTCCCTCCTTCCGTTATATGTAATGTTTTGCAATTTTGCACTGAATTTTTCAAAAATTAAAAATACTGATCATAAAATGGGTTAAGTAGCACTTATCACAAATTGAATTTAGTATTTTGATGCTTCAATTTACGTGAAACCGAGGAAGAAGCTAACGTATAGCTGAACGTTTTTATTAAAAGTTTTGACATAAATAATTCGGAATTAAAGATAGTCTGAAGTCGCCATTCATTTATTTTCTACAATGGGCGCATGGATCACGTCCAGGTTCACCCACTTGACCAGGTATACCTGGTGGGCCTCGCCAACCCGGAGAACCGTTGCGCCCTCGTGGTCCTGGTAAGCCAGGCCGTCCCGGTGGCCCAATAGGCCCTTCTGAAAATAAATTTAAACATGACAAGTAAATAACCGTTCAAAATGAAAACATTTAAAATTCAAGGACATTTCATACCGAATTTCCTCATTCCCATGTAGACAACTGCACTATATATTCACTTGATCACTCAAAATCGCACATCGTAAAGGATGGAGAAGACAAGCCCTGAATTGCAAAATAACTCACCGGGTCCAGGACGTCCTCTATTTCCAGCTCTACCTGGTCGTCCTGGTGGACCAACTGGTCCCCGACGACCAAGCTTTCCTCTCTTCTGCACGCCTGGTCGTCCTGCCGGTCCTCTCAATCCCATTGCCCCAGACCGTCCAGGTGGTCCAATCGGCCCCATCGGTCCTGGCTGACCGGGTGGACCATCTCTACCCGGTCTCCCCGGGTTTCCCGATTGTCCAGGCGGTCCGCGGGGCCCAGCAGGTCCACGCGGGCCTGCGAGTGCTCGACAAGAACAATTTCGGTGATAGAGATTGACAATGCGTTGAGGTAGAGCAGCATCTGTACCGGGTGGGCCGAGGTCGCCCTGAAGACCATCGAGGCCATTTGTTCCATCAGGGCCCGGTGGTCCCATGGGTCCCGGACGGCCACGTTGACATGTGCAGCACAGTTTAGGTATGTAGCGTGGATAACGTTTCCTATGATCTCTTAGGTATGATCGGACTGATTGTCTCGTTAAAGTAAAAGTCGGTAGATTAGATAGGATCGATACTTGGTCAACGGCATTCACTTCAATTTCCAATACCTCTTTCCACATATCTCGAATTCGCATCTGAAAC